TTGATACTTATTTATTTGTTTTCTCATTGGGGGAGCATGGTGGGCGCTGTTGGCGCCTGTGAGGATCACCTCCTCTGAGCTGGGAGAGGTGGGCCGGGGCCAGGAGCGGCAGTAGGGCTGGTGGCCCAGAAGCCCCTTCCTCTGGGCCCGGAGCAGTGGGATGGCAGCTCAGAAGCTCCTACCTCTGGGCTGGGCTAGCCTGAACTTCTTAGTTATAACATCAAAGGAAGAAACATGGAAAGTAAGCAAACCAGCAGTGTCTATCTGTTAAAAAAAAACTTTAGACACAATAAATTTAATATAATTTATATGAGCAAAAAAAAAAAATTCATGCAGTGAGATGCACCAAAACCAAAAAGAGGCTATGATCTCTCCTTTAGCAGAATTAACAGGGAGATTTTACAGGCTGAATATGAAATCAAAGTAAAGATTACTTGATTTGCTGTAGGTAAGCATCTGCCTTATTTGAGTATGATCTGATGGGAAATCCTTAGTTATATAATCAGTTGGATGGTTGGTTATTTATGATTAGCTGAGACTGGTCTTTTTTTTTAAAGTCAGTGTCATAAAGCATTTTCTGTTGTTACAACAGAATACCCGAACCTGGATAACTTATAAAGAAAAGAGATTTACAGCACTCTGAGAGGTTGAGGCACAAGGAGCTCAAAATAAAATTAAAAATTTTAAAAGGGTGGTTTTAAAATAAAAATTTAAAAAGGACTGGGGCTCATTGTGGTGGCCTTTGGTTCAATGCACAGTACTAAAAAAGAAAATAACCCCTGAAAAAACAAAAAATAATAGAGAGAGAGAGAGAGAGAGAGAGAGAGAGAGAGAGAGAGAGAGAGAGAGAGAGTGTGTTTAGCTAACAGGAGAGAAGAGATATTTAGCTCACAGTTCTGGAGTCTGAAAGTCCAAGATCATGTGGCCGTATCTGTTCAGGTGTACTTCTCTTGCTACTCCATGAATGGTTGAAAAATGAAAGGGCAAATAAGTGCAGATCTTGCAGAACAGAAGTAAGAGGGGTGAGGAACTTGCTCCCAAGGTAACTTACCAGTCTCTCTAGAGCAAGCTCAGTCATTCTTGAGAAAGCATTAATATATTCACAAGGGCTCCACCTCCATGACCTCAAAACACCTCCCATTAGCTATCCCTGCCAATATTGCCACATTGAGGAATGAGACTTCAATATCAGTTTTGGTAGGAGCAAACCATACTCAGATCTTAGCAGTCAGTTATAAGAAATACCTCCAAGTTGAGTTTGCTTACATAAGAGTTCTGAATATGGGAACAACTTTAGGCTGATGGCTTCCTTCTTATTTTTCTTTTTGAAAACATATCCATAAGAGTTCTCAAAAAGTTCAAATTAGGATCACCATATGATCTATTACTCCACTGTGAAGTACTGAAATTCTTCATTTTAAAAGAATTGAAAATAGTTATTCAAACAGATACGTGTACATCAGTGTTCATAATAGCATTATTCACAGTAACCAAAAAATGGAAACAACCAAAATATCCATCACTGGATGGATGGATAAATAAAATGTGGCATATCCATGCAATGAAATAGTATACAGTCATAAAAATAAATGGTACTGATATGTGTTACTGCATGGATAAATCTTAAAAAAAAAACATGCTAAGTAAAAAAAGTCAGACACAAAAGGTCACATAATGTTTGACTTGATTTACATGAAATATCTAGAATAGTTGAATCCATAAAGACAAGGATTATATTAGTGGTTGCTAGGGATTAAGGAGAGAGAGAAATGGTGAATGACTGCTTAATGGGTCTAAGGTCTCCTTTGGGAGTAACAATAATGTTTGGGGACTATGAAGTGGAGATGGTTGCACAACATGTGAATGCATTGTCATTCACTGTACATTTTTAAATGGTAAATTTTGTGTTATGTGAGCTGCACCTCAATAAAAAAATAAAGCAAAAACAAAATGGGGAAAAATGAAACTATTTCCAATATTGAGACTAAAGAGAATAGTCTTTTTTACAATTTTTTTAATTTTAATTTTTTTGTATCCAGGATTGAACTCAGGACCTTGCACTTGTCAGGCAGGCGTGGCACTCTGAGCTAAATTCCTGGATCTAAAGAGGATAGTCTTTAAGGAAACAAACCATCAGGAGTTATCTTTATTTGAATGCAATGTTGGTTTCATATCATTCTATACAAGGTCCTTCAATGTAAGCTGATATCATGATTCCAAAGGGTAACACACTGAAAAATATTTAAGTGGGAACTTGAGGTTAGAAGAAAAGAAAGTAGGGGATTTGCTATATTCATCTTTGATGAGCATGCTTGAAGCAGAGATAAATTAAAGACATCCAGAGGAGAAGATAGTCAGTCTACCTTTCTGGAACTTATCATAAATATTTCCCTTAGTCAGATTTTTGGAAGCTGTGGAACAACAGTGAGCTTGAGATTGTACTCCCTGTCAAGTATCTGTATATAGAATAGCCTGTACTTTAAAAATTAGCCAATCTGGGGCCAGGGGTTTAGCTCAGTGGTGCTGCCTGCCTCTGAAATGCAAGGTCTTGAGTTTGATCCTCTGTACCAAAAAAAAAAGTTAGCCAATCTAGATGCAGGAGTAAGATCCACTGGCAAAGGAAGCAAATGCCAGAAGTGAGAAGTAAAAAGTGTCAGGGCTGAAGCAGTGAAGGTCCTCCTGAGAAAATGTCTAGACTATTCAAACACCCAAACTAAGGGGAATTATAATCTCATACAGTTCCCTGCACTAAATCATCCCCTCAGTATCCTCAGAGAGGAAAGATTTTTTTTCCTAGACCAAATGAGATCATGTGTATAAAGGTTCTTGTAAAGTGTAAAGTTGTATATCAATGCATTGTCATTGCTATTAATATCTGGCAATCATACCTAACATGTTAACAACATACTTGAATGGCATTTTTACATACTTTATTCATTCATCATTTTCAAATTTTTATTCAATACTAATTATTTGCCAAGTGGTGTAGGCAATAGTGTCAACAGTTTTAAAAGGAATAAGTTAAGATTCTGAAAGTCTAAGATTTATCCTAAGGCACATAACTTGGACACTGGAGACTTTGGTTCCTATTTCATTCCAAACCTCTGCCTCCAAAGGCTGAAATGACCAAGAACTTTGTTTACCAAAGCCCCCGATCTTTATTAAATCCTAAATGTGATTATGAATATCTTGAACGAAGTTTAATCAATTTCTACTTCTGTATGTGGAGTGGCATTTTAATTGTGGTTACCTGGAGTTCTCAGGACCCATGCTACTAAATGGGTACATACAATGCTTTACATTATTGACTAGCACTTATTGAGTGTTCACTGTATGTTTATCTCATTTAATCCTTAAAATAGCCTTCAGGGAAAGGTTTGTCATACCTCATTTGTTTGTGTATACAGAAAAGCTCAGGAAGAGTAAATCATTTATTCAAAGTTACAGACGTAAATATAAATGGTCCAACAGTCCCTGTAGAATATTTAAAGGCTCATGAAAATCAGAGGCTAAACCAATAGACCTCTATGATGCTTACCTGAAGGGCCAATAGGGCATGAGACAAATGTTGAACTAAGAATAAAATTAAGAGACAAGACTGGGTCCATACCCACTTTTGTTTAAGGCCAAAGCTCAAAGCCTAACCACTCTGGTCTACTGGGATACAGGAATGGTAAGCTTGTAATAATTTGATTCCCTACCCAGATAATTACGGTAATAAACTTGGAGTCATCATCACAGACACTATAATTTATTATGCCTAGCAGTCATGGACTCAGGAACATTTGTAAATGTTAAAGTCTCAATATTAAGAACCAAGAAGTGACTTTCTACATAAAAGTTTGTGTTTTGGTTTTATTTTGTTTTTATTTCAAGGATGACAAGCTTTTGCTAAAAGTAAAAAATTTGAGGTTATTGAGCCAGGCACAGTGGTGCATGCCTGTAATCCCACCAATCTGGAAGGCTGAGATGGAATGGTTGTAAATTCAATCCCATACTGGATAATTTAGCTGCTTAGTGAGGGCTTGTCTCAAAAAATAAAATGGGGCTGGGAATCTAGCTCACTGCAAAGCCCCTGGGTTCAATACCCAGGATCGGAAAAAGAAAGTTGAGGTGACTAACATTTTTTTTTCTTTATAGAAGGGTATAATGTATTAGGCTACAGTACCTGACAAAAGATTGTAATGTTCGAGATACAGTTCTAGGTGCTGCTGTGTAGCCACTAGGGTACTCAAAATTTCCAGCTCTGCCAGGGTTTAAGGACATGGGAAGTTATTTTCACGAAGTTGGGCAAATTTGTCTTCTGGAATTCATTTCCTATAATGTAAATGAGAGGGCAGGATTCCCAAATCTTAACTGTCTTTGGTTTTGGCATTGTATAGTGTTTTAATCTGCTTCACCAGGTACTATTCTCATGTCAAAATGTTCATCTCATAGCCTTTTAATTCTTTAACTCATTCAACAAACTTGCGTTTCTACTAGTGCTGTGAATAATAGAAGCAAGGGTTCTCTGTGCATGGAGCTAACGGTTCAAAGGGATAACAAATACTTTTAAAACAAATGATAGTATTAATAACTATTGGAAAGGTACTAAGAAGGAAATAGGATGATGTGTACTTCTTCAGTCATAAAACAGATGATAGTGTCTTTCATTTCCCCAAATGACCTTGTAAGGTCATCAGACTTCTATAAAAGAAAAACATGTTAATAACTTACTTTTAACTAATGAACGAATAGCTAGCTATTAATCTTGAAATTTGCATGGTGTCTACTCTAGGTGTCTTGTAACGGGGCTGGTGGAAAGTGGGTTGTTGCTTTTCAAAAAGAGCAGCAAGACAGTCTTTTTTCTTTCTTTCTTTATCAAGCGGACAAACCGAAAAGAATCTAGAGTCGAACAGGAAAATGCCAATCGAGTCCAGCTTTCAGTATTTCTTTTCGTCTCTCAGTTCCCTCTGCAGCAGGAATCTGGAAGAAAACTAATCCATGAACTTGCACGCAAATTTCCTTTCAAGAATTACTGCCCAGTGGCAGGAACCTGGAGGAAGAGGTCACTGTGTGGTTTAGTAAGAGGCGCTTGGAAGGACAGGGTGGTGAGCAGCGGGACAGACGGCCGGAGAGGAGGACGCAGCAGCGGCCCCACTTGAGAGCACAGAAAAAGCCGCGGCGGAGCCTTGCGCCGCTCAGGTGGCCCTTTCCCGCTCAGGTGAGCGCCTCCCCGCCTCCCATTGGCCGAGGCGCTCGCGGTGCCGGGAGGGCGACGCAGCCCGGTCTAGTTCAGGGTCTAGGGCGGCGCGTCACTTCCGGTAGCGCGGAGCTTGTAAAACACCCTGGAGAGAAAATGGCGGCGGCAGCGGCTTCGTCGCCCCAGCAGCTTTCGGATGAGGAGCTTTTTTCTCAGCTCCGCCGTTACGGCCTGTCTCCCGGCCCCGTGACAGAGAGCACCCGCCCGGTCTACCTCAAGAAGCTAAAGAAGCTTTGGGAGGAAGAGCAGCAGCAGCATCGGTCAGGGGGCCGCGGCAACAAGACGCGGAACAGTAATAACAATAACACGGCAGCCGCCACGGTCGCGGCCGCTGGACCCACGGCGGCGGGGGCGGCGGGGGCGGCGGGGATGGGGGTCAGGCCGGTCTCGGGCGACCTGTCCTACTTGCGGACCCCTGGGGGCCTGAGCCGAATCGCGGCCTCGGGTTCGGAGACCCCCCCGGGAGGGCCCGTGGCCGCCGCAGCCGCCCCCACGGCTGGCAGCAAAGTGTTGCTGGGCTTCAGCTCGGACGAGTCGGACGTGGAGGCCAGTCCCCGGGACCAGGCCGGCGGCAGTGGCAGCAGGAAGGACCGGGCTGTGCTCCAGTACCGCGGGCTCAAAGCGCCGCCGGCGCCCCTGGCCGCCAGCGAGGTGACTAACAGCCACTCGGCCGAGCGGAGGAAGCCCCACTCGTGGTGGGGGGCCAGGAGATCGGAGGGCGCGGAGCTGCAGATCCAGTCGGGGAAAGATGCGGCGGTGGAGGACGAGGAGGAGGAGGGAGACGACCGGGAGGACGGAGACCCCGAGGCGGAGGAGCCGCTGTGGGCGAGCCGAGCCGTGAACGGCAGCCGCCTTCTTCCCTACAGCTGCCGGGAAAACTATTCGGACTCGGAGGAAGAGGAGGTGGACGACGTGGCCTCCACCAGACAGGTACTAAAGGATGACTCCTTTTCCCGGCATCGGCCCAGACGCAGCCATAGTAAGCCTCTCTCCCCTTTGACTGCTAAATCTGCCGGCAGCAGGCTGGAGACCTCAGTTCAAGGAGGGGGAGGACTTGCGATGAATGACAGGGCGGCGGCTGCGGGTAGTCTAGACTGGAGTCGAAACCTCGAAGAGGCGGCGACGGAGCAAGGAGGTGGGTGCGATCGAGTGGACTCCAGCCCCATTCCTAGATACCGTGTAAGCTCAAAGAAACTGGCCCCTCTCCTGTCCTCGCCGCTTCCCGACTTGGACTCAACCTTGGATTCGTCTACAGGCTCTCTTCTTAAAACTAACAATCACATCGGCGGTGGGACCTTCAGTGTGGACTCCTCCAGGATTTATTCCAACAGCCTCCCTCCCAGTGCTGGAGCCACCCCTAGTTCACTCAGGATCAATCACGCCAACCATACCGGCTCCAATCATACCTACCTGAAAAACACATACAACAAACAGAAGCTTTCCGAACCTGAGGAGGAACTTCTGCAGCAGTTTAAACGGGAGGAGGTTTCCCTACCAGGAAGTTTCAGTGCTCACTACTTGTCCATGGTTCTCCTAACTGCTGCCTGCTTATTTTTCCTAATACTGGGACTAACTTACCTAGGAATGAGAGGGACTGGAGTATCCGAGGATGGAGGACTCAGTAAGTATTAATCCTACGGGTAAGGTAACGTTGCAAGTGATCTACTTTAGTTGCATGTAGCACTTTACATGAGGTGACTTTTTGGGAGAACGTGGTTTTAACAGCGAAATACAGCAGAATGCATATGTTATCTTTAAGAAAGAACATTATTACCATTATCAGAATGGTAGTTTATGGTTGCTTTTAAAGTTTTCTTGTATGGTGTGAAATTCAAAACAACTCAGAACAGATATTACCAAAATGCATTTGTATGTGGCTTAACTGTCTTTTAGCCTTAAATATTTGTGCATTTGCCAGTTACTCAGGGTCTAGAAGTATTACCGTTATTCAGAATGTTATAAGTATTTTTTTCAAGTTGAATTGTGATTCAAGGCAACATAATACCTTTTGAAATCCAAGTTTTTTATAGAATGAGTATATGTGTAGTAGTTTTGTCATTTCTTTAAAGAAAATGAATATTTTAAAAGCAGTAAGGAATACTTGTTAGTTGATTTCCAGCCCAGTGACCCTCCCCTCCCAACTGTGGAAATAGTAGCTATCACTATGATAAGCCAGTTCAGGAGCTTGCATTAAAATTTATTTGGATTGGTTTCAAGGCCTTGCCATTTATTTACTTGCTGATTGACTGTAGGCAGGTGTATTCATTCATTCATTAAACCAGCATCTTCTATAAACAACCAGGATACAGTAATAAGTCGATTTATTCCTCCTTAAACACATAAATAAAAACAAATACAGAACATATTTTTGTGGTGGAAAAAGGATAGAGTAATTGATCAGAGGAGGTGTACTGTTTGAGGTGAGACTTGGAACTGGAGGAGATGGCCTTGTAGAGAGACTGGAGCATTCTTGGCAGACATTACAAGAAGAGTAAAGGCCTTGAATTGAGTAAGAGCCTTCCTGTAGAGAAGAGTGCTTAGATCTTCCCTTTCCTAATCTATAGAAAGATGGTAACACTGACTAGGATGATGCTTGTGAAGATTAAAAGAAAGTAAATTAGTGTATGAGTTGATGTTTTGCAGTGCTAGGTCCTCCCCCATTTTTTTTCCTGAGGATTTCCTGTTCTTCCAAGAAGAATTCACTCTGTCATGGTTTGGCTTATTATATCATTTTATTTCAAAATAGATTGAAAGTTGCAGTTAACTGATGCAAAATAGTATAAGCTTTGATTTAGATACAACTAATTCCAAGTTAAACAATAGATTGTTACAATATTGCATAATTTACAAGGGTTGGAAGAGAAGTGAAATCAAGCTCTGAACTTTAATTGCTTCATTGGGAATTGCTGTATTGTGTCCTCCTCCAGATATTTGGGTGGAAAAATTCAAGGGCACACTGGACATTAAACAAGTAAAATTTACATAAATGGCATCACCTATCATCAGTACCTACCAGCATTGGTTGTCTTTGTGATCTGCTGATTTTCTAAGAGCTAAGTGCTTTTCACATATTATCTAATTTAGTCTTCCTAGCAACTCACAGAGAGTGGTGATGTTATCCTTATTTTAATGGGTGACGATGAGATTAAAGTAAGTTTAAAAATGTACCCATAGGTGTACAATTAATGAGTAGTGGGACTAAGATTTAGTTTCAGATTTTTTCCTATTATAAGCTTGTTTCTTAACACTATTTTGTGTATCATTTGTAGAGAGCTTTCTAGATGAGGGAGTACCTTTATTTTATTATGATTAAGAAAATAACTGACTATTTGGTAGGCATTCATACAGAATTACTGTTGAGCACAAATCTCAGTTCACATCTTTTTCATCATTGTTAAGATGAATGATTAATGTTATGTGTAAAATTTCAAGTAGAATAGGATGAGAAGGAATGCTGGTACTCTCCTCCTTCATGTAGGTGGCAGGGAAGAGCTCATAAAGCATTTTAGATTTTAGCAAATGGTAAATGTGAGGTAGTCTGGATAATGGAAAAAAAAATGGCTAAATGGTTAAGATGAAGGTGTTTGGATTTGTTTGATGATTTTGGCCAAACTCTTTAACCTCTGAGCTTCATTTTTACCTGCTAAGTGGGAGTAACAATATCTGCTGTCCATGGAGTTGCTATGAGAATATGAGATAGTTTGGCAAAAAACTTAAGGTGCTATTATTCATAAGTTCAGATGAAATTTGGTATATTTCTGGTAAGCTCTGGTAGCTTATTTCTGTGCTGAAACGTTTAAGTCATTTTCTGTAATTGATATTTGCAGTGCATTTTCTGCTTACTTAACATGTAGTTTTTATTCCATTAAAGATACATTGTAGGGCTGGGGATTTAGCTCAGTGGTTATGCAGCCTGCCTTGAAAGTGCAAGGTCCTAGTTTGATTGATCCCCAACCAAAAAAAAAAGATACATTGTAGAAATTCAGGCAGAAATTTCGAATCAAAGTAAAATGTATACTTAAATGTTTGATATACTTGACATGTTGTGTACCCTGGTAAAAAGAAGTATCTGCTAGTTCAGTTGTTAGTCTGGTCACTGGATGATGTTAGGGTTTCAAGAGTGACTAATTTTTACTCCCTATATTTATGTATTCTGAATACATTGTCATATTCTGATTCTTAACCCCCAAATAGAAAACAGAACAGATTGGCTGTTTTAGGCTTCTGATCATTATTGTATAAAGGGCATGACTTGTATAGAAAGTGTGTCTAGAGGGCCGGGGATTTAGCTCAGTGGTTTCGCCACCTGCTGCGCAAACGCAAGGACCTGAGTTCGATCCCTGGTACCAAAAAAAAAAAAAGAAGAAAATGTGACTAGAAATGAGTGGGTATTATGAGTGAGTATATATTCATTGGTCAACTAATGAGCTTAAGGAAGTACTTTTACTCTGAGTAATTATTTCACCAGAAGATTGTAGGTTATATGTGACTGTCAGCTTTTATTAGTTATTATTTGAATTATGTACAATGTAAATTAGTCTTTTAAATTGTTCTTAATCATTTAATCTTTGGGTTTTATATCAACCTATTTTTATTAGATTACTTTTACTAATTATTAGATTACTGCTTTTAAATCTGAAAAAGTAGAGGTTGGATTACATGATTTTTAAGCATTTTCCCACTTGAAGGTTTAAGATTCCAACTTAGAACTATCAAATCAACTTGAGGATCAGCCTGCATTCAGATTGTTCCATAGATGATTAGATCATGACAATTCCACACACACACACACACACACACACACCCCCACACCCACGAAACAGAAAACAGAGTAGATTGGCTGTCTTAGGCTCATGGTCATTATTTTATAAAGGGCATGACTTGTCTAGAAGTGAGTATTACATATACCATTCTTCCTAGTCTTACTCCCACACCTGATACTAATAAATTCAAATATTAGAACCTTTCAGAGCTTCCTTAATATTTTTCATGTAAATATGTGTATGTGTAGATTTCTATTCAACTGTAGAATGCCTATTATTATGTGCCAGAATCAACAGAAATAATGTGAATAATACATGGATATGTGGAAGATGAAATTGTTCTTTTGGAGCTTCTTTTCTAGCAGGGAAGATGGACAAGTAAGCAAGAATTTCAGATACTGGTAGTTAACATAAGGAGATGCTAGCAACTTTGGAGGGGTGGACTGAAGGAATAATGCAGTATGGAATACAAGTAGGCAGGCTTCTCTGAGGTGAAATTTGAACTGAAATCTGAATGACTTGAAGTATTTAGTCATTGACAGGGAGAACATACTGGCAAAAGTAACACTAAGTGCGACTTCTGAAGCAAGAACAAGCTTGTAAGTGGAAGGATCGGAAGGAATTATCAGTGTTGCTGGTATACAATGAATGAAGAAGAAAAAAAGATTGGCAAATGAAGTCAGAGGTTAGGCACAGGCCAAATCATAATGGACTTAAAGGCCTTGAGGGCTGAGTCTGAATTTGAAGTGACATCATGCTATATGATAATGCATATACATAATGCAACTGATTTTTAATTTTTTAAATTTAATATTGTACCATGAATAATTTTTCCATATACTGATTTTAAGTACAAAGGTATCATTTACAAATCTCCCTCTCCACTAGTCACTTTCTCATCTTATAAAAAGTGCTACACTCTGCCATTCAACTCTGTTCTCTAGATGCTGCTCTTCTTAGCCAAGCAGTTCATTCTATTTCCTCCCCTCCTACTCATTCAGTCCTATATAGTTTGATTTTCATTACCAATAATTCCTCTGTAACCTGTCTCCCTCAAGATACCAGTTACTCAGTTTCCACTTCTCACTCCTTTGATTCATTTAGTGCATTAACAACTCCTTGCTTTATTAAACTTTTCTTACCAAAACTTCTGCATTACCACATTCTCTTAGTTTTTGTACTTTTACCTGCCTATGTTTTAAATATTTTTAGTCTCTGGAACTTTATCTTTGGTGCTATCCTTATGTATACATTCCTTAGGCAGTTTAATTCACTCTCCTACGTAATATCTTTCAATTTTGTATTTCACTTTAGATTTCTCTTCTGAATTCTAGACTTACCTGTTTGTTTTATTAGACATCTTTTGGTTGTACCGGAAGTACTAGTGCCAACTGATGCTTTTCTTACTTTCACTTTGTTTTTGCCCCTCTGTTCCTTATTTTAGTTGTGTTCTATCTTCCCAGAGCCCAGGAGAAAGCTTTGTGTTTGCCTGGATTCCTTCCTTTCTTTCCTTCCTCGTAGTTCTCTTTTCTGCTACTTTTGAATCAGTCTTTTCTTTGCATCACCACTGCTTTAGGTTAGTTTCTTACCTGAACTCTTTCACTAGCTTAGTAGGTGTTCTTGCTTCTAGGCTGTAGCTCTTCCAGTCCATTTTTTAGTGCCAGAGCAGTATTTCTAAAGCACACATATAATCATATCTTGTTTAAAATTACTCAGTGGCTTCCTCCTATGGGTTAAATCTAAACTCCTTGGTTAAACTGTTCTAATGTATGGTTCATTTCCTACAAATCTCACTCATCACATTTATTTTCTGGAAAATTGAACTACTTGGTATTTACTGAATAAGTCATGGAATTTT